TAAAGACCAGACAATCTTTCTGCATATTCACATACCTTGTTGTACAGCTGAAGGAAAGATAAACTTGAGCCCTACCTTAAGTTTGGAGACGCATTACAATTTCTGTTTGAGCAAGTCTGACTTGATGATGTTTGTACATTATTCGCGCAGACCCACACCCAGATACACCTACACACACAATGAGCAGCTGATGCCTAAAATAATCCTACCTTGATCATGCGCTCTCTCTATTCATTTTCTGCTGTAAGGCAAGATATACAGAGATTATTCTCAGTTCCACAAATAATCAATGAGCAAATATGTGTATGATGAAGTCAATCTGTTGCAAGACCTAAAAGAGAGAGAGTGCTTATTTTAAAAGTGGCTCAAAAGCAGGTGTTTTAAGAGGAATACAGGGTTTGGAGACTGACAAGCCTGGGCATCAATATACAGAATGGGCAGGGGAAATTTGGAGAACTGTGAACCTTTAAGATGGCCTATTTCCCCCAACTTTCTAGACAAAAGGTTTAGGGAGACCTAGACCTGCACTAGAACCCACCATCCATTTGGCCCTGGACTCTCCTACTACTTCATCATTTAGTTGTTCTGAAAGCAGTGGCTGCTTCCTCTAGAATACATCCCATTTGCCTCTACAGGGAAGGCTTTTTTTGGCTACAGTGAAAGGAAAGTGGGAAGATAAAACAAACTTTAATTCATCTGTTCTTACTCATAGGGCTTCCCATCAAGGATGGGTTTTATCCTTATTTAGAATCAATACTAAGTAAAGAAAGTATAAATATACCAATTGAAAAACTCTTTCTGTGGATGCCTTAGCAGCCACAGTTAAATTGCCTGAGGTTTCGAGACACCATGCATTTTCCCTAGCTCTTATTCTGTAACCATCGAGTGTTAAACTCAATCATTTCCTGGGATCCCTGATGTAACAGCATCTAGATCTGTTCATAGGGCTTAAAAAAATTTTTTTTAAATAGCTCTGGGGCAGAGTTAGATAAATCCCTAATAAACAAATGGAGTTTTAAATTGTTGAATATTTTTCCCCAAGAGATAAGAGCAACTATATTTTAGTTGAGTGTTACCATGCCTGACAAAAGAGGATCTGGGTGAAAGTGAGGAATTCCCCCTGGGCGTTTCCCACTGATTAGCCCTGTGTCAAGGGAATCAAACCTCAGGGTGATCCTAGGGTCTCTGTAGGCCATCACAGGAAGCAGCATAGACTGAGTCAGATGACCTTAATCCATCCCCTACTGCCCCTCATACTAACCAGGACTATAATCCAAGGGAAAGTCAAACTCCAAAGAATGTTTAGATTCTTCATCTGTAAACTAGGAGACTTGAATACATGTGCCCTCTTTAGGACCTTTCTAGGACTAATCTGCTTCATTTCCTTTGGTTGCCCTAGGCAAACAAAATAAACCACAAGGTAAGGGCTCAGAGCTGAGTACTTTGAGAAAATAAAAGGAAAGATGCTTGTTGGGAATGCATCTAAAGGATTTATGGCTGGATCTGTTCCCTGGTTAAGGAAATCCTGAAATCTCTAGGTCATTGAATCTCAAGTAGACCCACTTTGTTGAGGACAATAGGGGTGGATTTATTTTCATAGAAGGTGAAAGCAAAATAGCCCTGAGTGATGAGCCTAGGACTTGGGCTACTCTCTGTGAACTTTCCACTATATTATGCTACCTAGATTTTCTTCACCAGACCTAAAAGAAAGGAGAACATGAAATGATAGATGATTCGGAAAATGTTAAATAAACCATTGTTTCCAGCCTTTCTAAAGACTAGTTCCAGAAGATACTATATATAAAAATATTTCAAGGTGCAAAACGTGGGCTACCAGAAAATTTACCTTTTCTCTTGGAGCTTCCAAATTAGCAAAAACTAATTACCAAATTAGTAGGATCTTAGGAAGATCCTACTGTAGAGAAACCTATACATATTTTCTTTAACTAGCATTTCCTAACTTATTTGGTCACTAAAGACACACTTTACACAAACAACCAATTATCACTGTATCTGATTTGTAAATATATAGAAATGATCAATTACATAGATGTAAGGAAAGATCATTTTACCCACACTACCAAGTGACCATCTCTCTCCGCTTATATGTGTCCACTTGCACTCCTATTACTAATTACTTCATTCAGCATAGGCTTGGTTTTTAGTACAGTATTTGACAGCCTGATCTGTTGTTTCTTCATTCCAGCTTCTGAATCCAAACAATTACCTGGCTTAATACTTGCAGGTCTAGGATACTCAAATACTTGTGATGATTCTGTAACTAATCTCTATAAAATTTTTTAGCTATTTTAGTCATTCAAATGTGAATTTCCAAGTTGATCACATATACATGGCACAATTGACTTCTATAGCCCATTGGTTTTGTGGGATGCTATCCAATGATGCACACCCAAAACCTTCATGTGTCAGTGAGAAGTGTGTAGCAAATCTAATCTTTGCTTAAAATATAAACCCAGAGTGAAAAGAAACCACAAGAATCCTCCCTCAAAGCCAATACACACAAATCAGGGTAACCAGTTAAAGGCTCATGGTCATCTGTCCAGTGACCTATCTTTCCCTTTGGGAGTTGGTTAAGTTCCAGATAAGTCCTGGTGGGAAGGATAGATGGCAAGGAGGAATGAGTCCAGACCAGAGTGACCAGAGGGGCCATGTGGCCTGGAGTGGCTCCAGGCAGTCCCGCCCAGCTCCAGCTGGAATCCCAGATGATAAGGTCATAGGCAGTAACAAGTAGCCAATACAAATGGGCACAGATAACCAGACTTAGCCATATGCACATGTTGATCAGCATGAACAAAAACTAATTATTTAGGATGAAGTATGTTGAGGTGAGGACAAATGTATATGTGGGCAAACTCTCACTCTTGTGTACAGTTTTAAGAATGTAAAATGGTGCAGCCACTATGGAAAACAGTATGGTGGTTCCTCAAAAAATTAGAAATAAAGCTACTACATACTACACCCATATCACTTCTGGGTATTTATCCCAAAGACCTGAAATCAGGATCTCAAAGAGACATTAGCACGACTGTGTTCACTACAGCATTCTTCGCAAAAACCAAGATGGGGAAACAACCTGAATGTCCCTTGACAGATGAATGGATAAGGAAAATGTGGTATTTACACACAATAGAGTATCAGTCATCTTTTTTTTTTAGGATTTTATATTTTATTTATTTATTCATGAGAGACACATACAGAGAGAGGCAGACACATAGGCAGAGGGAGAAGCAGGGTCTATGCAGGGAGCCCGATGTGGGACTTGATCCCAGGACTCCAGGATCACGCCTTGAGCCAAAGGCAGATGCTTGACCACTGGGCCACTCAGACATCCCTCATTCATCTTTTAAAAATGAAATTCTGCAGTGTGTTACAACAGGGATGGACCTTGAAGACTTTATGCTAAGTGAAATAAGCTAGTTGCAAAAAGAAATACTGAACAATTTCATTGATGTGAAATAATAAAACAGTCCAATTCATAGAATCAATGTATAGGCTAGTGGTTACTAAGGGCTGGAGTGAGAACAGAAATGGGGAATCACTCATCAGAGGGCATCAAGTTTTAGTTAAGCAAAACAAGTTCTAAATACATGCAGTGTAACATTGCACTACAGTCAATAATCATATGCTCTATACTTAAAATTTTGTTAAGAGGGCAGATCATGTGGAGTGTTCTCACCATGATAAAGCTAAAAGAAAATAAAAGGTGAATGAGAGGTACTTGGGATGTTGTAGGCACTCAACACATCACATTATTATTCTTATAGTCAATGGGCTCTGCTAAGAGGGTTTAGCTTAGTGAATAAGGAAGGGTTAGACCAGAATTAAACATACTGTGTTCATCCTCCTGATCCCTCAGTTTTTATCATCTGTATGATTAAAATTAAATAGAATGATACAGGACATATAGCACAGAGGCAGGTCCTAGCATATAGTAAGCAAGTATATTTGAAGCATTTTTAAAAAATAGGACAGTGTAAAGACTTTACCGTTTTCTCATTATCTGGAAGTTGACAACCTTCAGATACTTTGACACATCTCTCTTGACCTACTCCACTTTTTTTTTTCTTTTTTTTTTTTTCCCAACTCCTTTTCCCTTTTCTTTCCTGCCTTGTCTTCCTTCCTATTCCTCTGTCCTACTTCTTCTCTCTGGCTCTCATATACCAGGTCTTTCCAATGCCTACTCCCCGTGTGTGTGTGTGTGTGTGTGTGTGTGTGTGTGTGTTGTATGAGAGAGAGAGAGAGAATGTTCCTGCTGGAGAAGGGAATGGGTAGGTTCTCCTCCTAGATATTGCTGGTTAGAAGTGAGCCGTGGAATGAAGGAAGGTGACAGGCTCTGGTGACAGTAGCTGCCATGCATTTCAGGACCTGAGAAGCAATGGAGTAAAGATCATTATTTTTTATCTACCATGGAAATGCCATAATCTAGCCCTACCTCCTGCCTCAGGAGAGGACTCAGCTCTTGGCTCAACTATCTTTGATTGTGAGGAAAGCACATATCAACCCATAATACCTAGGTATCCGTCAGGCCTAGACAAACTGGCTTCTTTTTTGTAACCAGAAATTATTGACAACAAATATCTCCCAGAAATCAAATGTCAGTCAGCTATTAACTTGAAGAAAAGAAAAAAAACAAGCACATACAGTTCCTTAGTTTTTTTTAATTTTTTAAAAGTATTTTATTTAAGTTCAGTTTGCCAACATACAGTATAACACCCAGTGCTCATCCCATCAAGTGCCCCCCTTAGTGCCCCTCACCCAGTTACCCCATTCCCCACCCTCTTCTCCTTCTGCAACCCTTTGTTTGTTTCTCAGACTTAGGAGTTTCTCATGATTTGTCTTCCTCTCTAATTTTTCCCCACTCAGTTTTCCTCCTTTACCTTACAGTATCTTTCACTATTTCTCATATTCCATATATGAGTGAAACCATATGATCATTGTCTTTCTCTGATTGACTTATTTCACTCAGCATAATACCCTCCAAAAATATGAAACGTTTCATGAATTTATGTGTCATCTTTGTGCAAGGGCCATGCTAATCTTCTCTGTATTGTTCCAATTTTAGTATATGTGCTGCCCAAGTGAGCACTAGAAGTTTTTAATAGCTCCATAATGATATATACGCAAGCAAACATCTCTCTGGTAGACATTAGCAATTTTAAATAATCTTTTTAAATTAAATATAAAATATATGAAGAATAATATACAAATTACAAGTATAATTATAAGTATTTCACAAAAGGGACACACCTGTAGAACCATCACCCTGACCAAGAAACAGAACATTTGAAACAGCCCAGAGCACCCCATCACCCCCCCTTTCGGTCACCACCCCTGCAGAAGGTCATACTTTGCAAACTTAAAACAACTTAAAGTAATTTGTCTGTTTTTTAACTTTATTTAAATGAAGTAAATCGATCCCTAGTCTCTTGTATCTGGCTTCTTCTGTTCAACATATGGTTGAACGGTTTATCCATGCTATTGGGTGTGGTAACAATCCATCACATTTTCATTGATATTGACTGACCTTAGCAGTAGACTTCAATTAGCTTTCTCTCTCAAATCTAGCACACTTCTGAGTGCTTACCAGCAGGAGCTATGTATGGATTAGAGGCAAGACCAACAATTTTTTTAACTTATAAACAGCTTTATTTGTCCTTTCTCATACAGGCTTCCAATTGGCAATGGCTTGACACCAGCCATAAAAATGGGCTTTCAAATTATATATTTCTTGCCTCAGTTTACCAGGCTCTTTTCCACTGGTCATCTTCAATCTCTTGTGATTACCTCCCCTACTTCACTCACTCTTCCCAAAGGTGTGAATATCAGAGAGTCTGCAATGTAATATCTTTCTTCCCTACTTATATGGAAAAAAAACTACATGGGCAGAGGATATTGGCTAATTTTCAATTGCGGTCTAGCTGGGTCTTCACACTCAAGCTTCACAATTTTATTTGAAGTGCTACAGCAGGGCAGCTCGGGTGGCTCAGTGGGTTAGTGCTGCCTTCTGCCCTGGTTGTGATCCTGGAGACCTGGGATTGAGTCCCATGTCAGGCTCCCTGCATGGAGCCTGCTTTTCCCTCTGCCTGTGTCTCTGCCTCTCTCTCTGTGTGTCTCTCACTCTCTCTGTGTCTCTCATGAATGAATAAATAAATAAAATCTTTTTTAAAAAATGAAGTGCTACAGCATCCACACAATTATATATAAGAAAAAAATTCATTCCCACACATACAAAAAATTATTTAGGGTTGATCTGAGCCAACACTTTTTTCTCCTACTACAGTGGGTAGAGATAAATGAAATTCTACTATAATGAACTAAAATGAGGGCAAATATTACATCAAAATTAGTGGATGCTGAGACACCATGTATGTGGTTAACTCAGGGATGGAAAAAGTCCTGGAGTATGGAATACAGACGGACATGCTAAAAATGGAAGAAAGGAAGCATACCAAGAAATACGGTTGCTCCACAATGTCATTCCTGCCCATCCCAAAGGGGCATAAATAGAAATATTCTGGAATTTAGCACCACTGATATTTAAGCCCAATTTCCAGCAAGGTCAAGGCTAATAGCGAGTTATTTGTTTTACTAACTTAGGTTGCAGTGCCTTGGGTGGATCCGCACCTTCTTCTATATCTCACTCAGCGCCAAGAATACTGTTAGCCATCAACAAAACCATAATAGACTGAGAGTCTTCTCCAAAGGCCAATGAAAACATGCACACTGAGCTAACAGAGACATTTACAGGCAGAGGATTCCAGCTTCCTTTCTGAAAATGCCACCAAGGCAGTCTAGCTAATTAGGTCTTAGTAAGTGACACCAACTCACCAGAATGGCCCACCTACCTGTAGCTTTGTGTGTGTGCACCAAGCTTGTTTTCTATTTATTTGGTTTTTGTTTTTGTTCTTCTGGCTATAAATGAAAAGGGCTATTTCTAATATTTTAAAGGCTCTCTCTGAGATCTGGCCTGTAAATTCACAGTAATTTCAGGGAAATGGGAATGCAATACTTAAGCTTGGCAAAGAATAAATTTATTAATTCCAGGCTATTCATTCCTCTCCCACTTCTGTTATCTTCCCTGAGGAGAAACAGAGAAAAATGATTATGTCCAAGGCCACCCTGAAATGCAGTGACAATTCCAGGAATGAAACTCAGATGTTTCTTTCAACCTTGTCTCTGATCCAGCCTGGGAGTAGGCATAATTTTCCTAGTATTTCCCAAAGAAATGTCCTTGGAAGGTCTAGTTCAACCTTTGTTTGTGTTTCTGAAAATAATGTAAATTGATGGAGATAGGGATTATGGACATGAGACACTAGAGTAACACAGACTCAAAGCTAGCAGGTCTTTCTATGAATAAGAATGGTGTTGACTTCAACCTAGGTGCTTTAAACTAAGAAAGACCACATGTGCTGAATATTAATCCCTGGAAAATTCGGTGAGTATTAATGCAGCTTATATTATTACAAGTACTCAGAACACAGATGTTTCTGTGTCCCTCATATTTTCTTCCACCAAAATACTAGTAGAAAATGATATCACTGCAAATCAGGCCTTTATCTATTCCCCCAAAATAAATTAATAAACACATATATATACATATATTCCAGGCAAAGCATACTAGAGAATTGTCATGCACTACAATAGAGCAGAGGGAATGGGCCATAGAGGCAGATACACCTAAATGCCAATTCCAGTTTCATTTGTTATTAGCTCTTCAGTGTCCTAAACGATTCTCAGCTTAATTTCCTCATCTGTAGACCTGGGACTCATATAGTTATTCAGAGCTCTTTCAATTCCAAAAATCAAAAACTTAACCCATGCTTTCTTAAGCAAAAAAATAAATAAATAAATAAAATACAAGTAAAAATAAAATAAATGTATTGACTATGTAATTGAAAAACCTAGGATCCTTTAGCTTCTGACACACTTGGATTCAGATTCTTTCCCATACGCCTTCTTTCTTCTGAAATGGCCTAATTTTCAAGTATGCTTTCCCATCATTATGGCCCTTAGAACTCAAGATAATATTATAATAGCCCAAGGCCAAGGCAATGAAGACTTCTCAGGTACCGAACCTCATTTACTCTGGTCAGTTACAGGTCCACACTGTAGGTATCACTGGCAGAAATCCCCAGATATATTAGAGTGCTATTATGTGGGTCAAGGTAACTGGCTTCCAGAGAGGCCAAAACAACATCACCTACAATGCATCTCAGAGTTGTAAAAACAAGCAAACAAACAAAACTTATCCCAGTGCCTCTAATTTCCATTAAGATAATAGTATGCTAATTTTTAGGAGTGGGCAAATCTTTGACATGCAGGAAATATTGGCCAGTATAGATTCCACTTAGAACACACAATACAGTTAGTAGTGGCATCTCCATGATCTACAGAATATTCTGCCAAAATGAGGTAAAGCTATAAGGTAAGATTTTCCCTGAACTGAAAGAGACAGAGGATTTATCTAAGCAGGGAAGAATGGAGATGTCATTTAAGGGAAGTAATAAAACAAGTTAATGACTATATATTTTCATATAAGAATGAGTATTGTGGGTAAGATGCACATTCAAAGCAATAGAAAATGGCATATCGTGAAGTAGATTTGTAAATATTAGTAGGAAGAATCTGTATACTTCCAGCAAAAATAACATCTATGGAATTAAGTCTTTAAAATGTCATTAGGAAGGAAAGATTTTTTTAAAGTACTCATTCAATGTACTTTTTGACAAGACACTCCTTATGCTGGTCTGCTTTCAATGAGGTGGCCTGTGTATAAACATAAATCTGAAAAACTAAGTTAAGACCTCTTCATTAAAAGACACAATTAGCTCACTCCAGTAAAGATTAAGATTTATTGGTTTATGCATGTTAATAAAACCTGGCTGCAACTAGAAACAAAAAGTAGTTTAGAATGAGAAAATTGCATTAATATACATGATGTGGGTTCTAACTGGGGCCAAAATGAAAACTATTTCCTGGATTTCAGATAGAGGTCTGTCCAACAAAAACCTTATTTTGAGCATTTTGAAGGTAGACTTCAAATAATAATGAAAAGCAAGACAGACACATTTAACCAAATATAAAAAGAGGTTTTTATTTAAAAAAAAAAATACATTGGGAGTGCCAACCATAAGTAATTTTTGCAAGCAATACTAAGCCAGACTACCATCCTTCCGGTAATGCACCTACATCAGGCACCAAGAATATTTATTTCTGGCTATGATGAATTCAGATGAGTTATTCCATTCTCCAAAAGATGTCTACAGAAGGCTCTCCTGGCTGCCAAAAGCAGTATTCTCTCAAAATAGAAATCCCTCCTCAGATCGACTTAGCAAGTCTGTTATGATAATCTCAGGGAATTTACCAGTCTGGGGAGATTTATTTCATGGAACTGAAGTGTTTCCAAGGTTTGAAGATACTCACTCCATATTTCGGGAAATGAGCATGTGATATATTTTGCATGTTGTCTTAATAAAAGAAGCATTTCTCTTCCTACAGGGTGCCGTGAGCTGGTGATTAAAAGCTGTTGCATGTTCACAATCAAGAAGTAAAAACAGCATTAAAATAAGTGAACATAATAAATTAAAATCTTGAGAAAATGAGGGCATTTTAAGGCCATGACAGCAACACATTAGGTTCCAAAACAAAAACTTTAATGACTTATCCAATTCTTCTTCATTAGTATAAAGTTGTTTCTTTTTTTTTTTTTTAAGATTTTATTTATTTATTCATGATAGACACACACAGAGAGAAAGAGAGGCAGAGACACAAGCAGGCTCCATGCAGGGAGCCTGATGAGGGACTCAATCCTGGGTCTCCAGGATCACGCCCTAGGCCAAAGGCAGGCGCTAAACCACTGAGCCACCCAGGGATCCCCTTATAAAGTTGTTTCTAAATGCAAACACCCTGAAGAATGTCTGCACCAACTATCCATTGAATGGTATGATGGCCACCAACCATCTCTACTGCTTTGGGTCCTGGACCTTTGTGTTTGTGGTCTAAAGGACCTTTCCTCAACTCCCCCCCAGTCAAGAACTCTGAAACCAAAATAGAGTTAATGAGGTGAGTAAACAGACTGAGAATTTT